GTGTGTTGTGTTTGTGTGTGTGTGTGCGTGTAATCTTATGCTTGTGTAGATGTTATATCACATATTCGGTCCCCCAACCGAAAATAAAATCGTGTTACATTCATCGCAGCATGGGGATGAAAAGGTTTAACGTCCGCTGCATATCAAACTTGAAACACTGAACACACCTGCCCGTGAGCCGGAATGCATGAGCTGAGAGCGTGGAGTACTGGGAGTCTTCGCCTGTTTATTCCCATGTGCCGATACGGAGGTCCTGTGACCCTCCATATTCCGGCGAGTATGTATTCTTGTTATATGATATGAACTAGGTAGTGTGCGATTAGAGCCAACTCCAGAGACTCATACTGTTAACAGTTCAACAGCTAACATCGCACATTATGCTTTGCATGAGTGCTTCTCTGGGCTGCAGGATAAATATGCGTTCTGGACTGCAGGTGGACTCGCGAGTTGAATAAACCGAATCAAAATACTACTTCTACAATCTACACTCGAGTATGTATTTATGAAGTTTTTAAATTGTGAATGCTTTTATTGGATTTTCGGAAGAAATACATGTTTTATTTTAGAAGGCTATGAAATACAGGGGTAAATATAAATGGGTCCAAACTATTAACCTCAGCCAACATCATTACATCAGGATTCAGCTATTTTTGATAGCCCTCTAAAAATCAGACATATTTTTACCACAAAATTGTTTAATTTCAGAAGGCTACGCAAACGCAAAATCTCATACATAGCCTGCATAAATCAAACAAAAAAATATTCACCGGTATGTAGGCGGTATTTATTTATAAGGCGGTTCGGATGTGGTATTTCCTTTGTTTTAGGGTTTCTTTAGGGCCCAAAATATCAGAAAATGGGGTTAGCATTTTTCGAGATACTATCGGCACTAAACCCTAGTTTTGCCCTAGTTTCTGGTACATATTATACATTCTCAACCCCTGATTGTTGTTCAGTGTTTGAAAAAAAATTCGAAGAAGTGTTTTTGAGATGACAGTATCGGTCAGAGGCTAGAGCTCAAGTTTTTTTCCAAATTGTTTACGACATTGGATATTTCAGTATTTATTACTGCAAACAGCAAAACTGCAAAGTGGAAATGCACCAAGAATCCAAATTTCCAGGCGGGGGCGGATCTACAAGCTCTCAGCCTTCAGGCTGCAGCCCTCGGCGGCTCGGCCTCTAGCCCTTGGCCACTAGTCCCTTTTTTTGAAAAATGAAGTTTAAAGTCTTTTAATGTACTTTCATTGAGTGCTGGACATTTATCTTGCAAAGTATTGATCCAAGTTGTAAATATGCAATTCTATCACAACAAAATGTACGCGCGATGTTCAATTTGGGTGACGCCAAATAGAATTTGTGAGAACATTATGCCTCTATAGTAGATTGAAGAATATTCCCAGAATCCCATGTGTTCATTGTATTTATCTAAAATCATAATTACATAACTCATGGCCTTCTTCTTGATTAATATATTTAGAAGAATGCTATGAATGACTAATGACTACTACTTTATATAAACAAAGTATGACAGGTCTCGTGGTTTGAAATGTAAAAGTTATTACTGCGTATGTGTCTGGAAAAGTCGTTCACACATCTAAATCTCGGATAGAAAGTATCCAATTTATGACCGTCGAGGCATCTAAATCTCGTATTGAAGGCATTAATACATGACCTAAATCTCGCATAGAAGGCATTAATACACGACCATCTGGAGGACAGGAAAGTTTAGGAGGGAGAGGGATTTTTTTTTCATTTTGTCTCTCTCGTCCAGAGGGCTATGGCTAATGTATCTTTCAACAGGTGAGTTATGAATAGTATGATCCTGGTTTCATCATGGTTTTCGCCAGTCCAGGACCCTCCCTTCAGTTAACATACATACACACACACACATATATATATATATATATATATATATGAATGTGTGTTTGTGTATGTATTTATGTATATAAGTATGTGTATACGTATATAGCACATTCACATATATATATATGTCTGTGTCTGTGTCTGTGTCTGTGTGTATGTGTGTGTAAATGTGTTCTATATATATATATATATGTGTGTGTGTATATGTATATATGTATATCGTGATTTTTTTTTATCGTTCCGGTGCTAGTTCGAAACAAATTCAAGGTTATCAGACAAGCTATGAATCATTTGGAATTATTTGTTTTTGCGTTATTTAAAAAATGTATTGAATGGTACTTTCAATTTGCCATTGTCAAACACGCAGTTTCATCATGACAAACATCATTTAACCCAATATCACTTCAACCTGATTTGAGCTAGGCAAATTTTATTACATTTCAAAATTAAATTGTTTGCAACTTGGGTGTTACACACTGTCCATTTAAAACACTCTTTGCATTTCGGTCGAAAGCGGCTTGTCGACAAGATTCCATTTCCTTACAGTCGTGCATTTCGGGCAGTCTGTGGGATTTGCAGTATTTCATGACACAAAATCGACAATCACCAATAATAGGAGCTTGCCTCTCGTTGCAGTCTTCAAGTGCACACCTCTTCTTGGCTCCGCCTCTTAATCTCAAAACTAAGTGCAAAGTGGACTCCTTTTGGATGTTATAATCAGCCAAACTGCGGCCGTCCTCTAATTGTTTACCTGCGAAGATCAGTCGCTGCTGATCTGGTGGTATGCCTTCCTTATCTTGTATTTTAGCTTTCACATTATCTATAGTGTCACTAGACTCGACATCCAACGTGATAGTTTTACCAGTGAGCGTCTTGACGAATATCTGCATACCACCTCGCAAACGTAAAACAAGATGAAGAGTTGACTCTTTCTGTATATTGTAGTCAGCAAGTGTGCGGCCATCTTCAAGCTGTTTACCAGCAAAGATCAGTCGCTGCTGATCGGGGGGGATTCCTTCCTTGTCTTGTATCTTGGCCTTCACATTATCAATCGTATCACTGGACTCCACATCGAGGGTGATAGTCTTGCCAGTTAGTGTCTTCACGAAAATTTGCATGTTTATTTAGTACTTTATGTATTAAAATTCGTACTGTTGAATGTGTATAATTGTGACTTTGCGGCTTGAAAGTAGGTCCTTTTATACATATATTTCTACTACAAACGACAGGAGTGACGAGTATTGATGAGACTTTATTATTTACAATTTGTCAATTATCTGATGTCAAATTTGAAATTTCAAAATGTTCTAACAGAAGTTTCCCGAAATAAATTTTACACAAAAAAGTAAAAATAAAAACATTTGAAAAAGGCTTGAATCACGCTTTTTATTCGTGCTTGTGAACACTGAAAATGATCGGGGAGCTGGTGATATACGTAAAAATATAAATACCACTCTGGGCTTGGGGCCTTGGACCCCTGGCCACTGTGGGAGGGGCTGATGATTAATGAGTGAAGAAGGACATATGTACTGAAGGCTAAAATCTAAATAGGCAACCGTAGCCCGTTGGACGTAGGTGTCAGTTTAAAAATGAGAGTAAGCTTGGCAAATATGTACAGTATTTATGTTTTTATTTATTTTAAATATTGTACCTATGTAGTACGTGCTATATATATATATATATATAAACACACATATATATATATATATA